TTTGCCCTGGGGGTGGTTTTCCAGCCTCAATACCTGGCGAGTTTTCCTTGGAGGGGCCCATTCTCCTTCCTCATCTGATGGCACAGAATTCCCCCACTCCGTTCTCTCCCTGGAGGGCTTTGTCTGTTCACCTCTCTGGAGGCCCTGCTGGGACTTTGTGCCTTCCTTCACTCCAAAGCTCTGAGAAGTGCCTGATAAAGATGGGATTTTCCAGCTTTTCGTGGCACAAAGCCCTCAGAGGAGCTGCCTCAGCAGTGACAGCCACGGCAGCAGGCTCAAACGCGGAGCAGAGATGAGCTGTGCTCCCTTGAAGTTGCCTGGAAGGACTGGGAGCAGGGATGGGGAGACTCAGAGCAGTCAGGGCTCCTCTCCCTCCCCATTTCCAGCACGTGCACTGCTGGGTTTGCTGGGCAAACTGGAACTGACCCCACGGGCAGAGCCCTGCTCTGGGACTGCCACCAGCCCTGCCAGGGAAGAGCAAACAGGAGCCTCTTGCATCCAAAGCAAACACGACAGTTCCCAGGGATTTTCTGGAGGAGATCTTCATTAAGTTTACATCCATTTCAGATGTCCTTTTTTTTGTGCCTTTTTCTCTTCCCCACCAGAAATTTTGCTTATTTCTTTTAGCAAAACTGTTAAAGTTAAAGGACAGCGTTGGAAAGTGGAGGCAACGGTCTCTGGGAAATAACAGTGACCCAGGGAGGAAAGGGAAGAGAATGGGCCACTCCTTTGGATTTCTAAAGGCACGGTTTGGGGTGGGGCAGACACCAACGACAAAGAGAGCAGCACATGGCTCTTGGGGGGACACCACCACTTCCCCCGAACCCTGAAATCAGAGGGGTTAGGGGCAGGAAGGCAGGACCCCCAGCCCAAAGCAGGGGCTGCCATGGGGGACAAAGCCTGGCTTTGGGTGGCCAGGGAGAGGAGCAGAGGGAGCAGGGATCCCTGTGGCTCTGCAGAGCCCGGCGCTGTTTACTGTGCTCTGTGGTTGGATTACACCACGTACAGTAATTCTCCTCGCACTGCCAGTAATTTCACTGACTTACCAAGCAGGCATCATTTCCTGAAAGTCAGCCCTGGACTTAGAGGAAGTAAGAGCCCTCTGACTAAACAGTCTATGCAAATCTCCAGGCGCAGGACGGCTCTGCAGGGCCCTGGGTCTCCATTTTCCCTCCTCTGCCTGCTGCATGTTGGCTTTTAAAGCCCCCCGATGAGCCCCGGCTGTGAATGGACCTTTCTCCACTTTCCGCTGAGCACCCTCCCCCTGCTGCTGCCTCCCGCGCCGACAGCCCCCCGAATGCTGCTCTAAAATGTCCCAAATGCAGTTCTGGCTGAAGTTCCCATCTCTCTACAAGGTAAAAACTCATTTTTCCTGGGTTTTTCCTCATGTGTTTGGTCGCCAGGGCAGCTGCTCCCCGGGAGTTGTGCAGTGGCTGCAGAGTTTTGGGAGTGACACCTCTCCACGTTCAGTACCGGGAATAGATAATTTTTTTTTTTTGTCCCAAAGATGTAATTTCTGTTTTGCTGGAACCTGCATTCCTGGATGCTATTCAGTCAGTCAGAACTCGGTTGCTGAGTGTGGAATTTGGAGGGAAGGAGCTCTCTGAGGATTGATCTGTGTGTTTGTGTAGGTGTGATGGCTTTGAGGGGTTTTATTTCCAAAGTTAACGTGGGGTGCAGGAAGCAAGGGGAGCACCATCCAGCCAGAGCTAAACCCTCCACACTGTTAGTTTATTGTCCCAGATTTAGACTTTGGGGTTTGGCACCTGAAACATTTTATAGTGATCATCTTCAGCTGCTGATTTGGTCACTCCTGAATAATAATTTGCTTAATCTGTGACTTTTGAGGTGCCAAATCTCTCTTGGCTGGCAGTGTGGCTGTAATTGTGGGCGTGTATTTGAGTGTATAGATAGGGTTTTGGGTTTTTAATAAAACCCCCTCTTCACTTGGGTGCTCTGCAGCGCAGTCATCCAAAGCTGCTCTGCAGACACTGTTTCCTCAGTGTCTGGATTATGAGAAAATAAACCATTTCTATTGATGGCTTGATGGAAAAAATTATTTTTAGGATGCTTGTTCTGTCTGTATTTAGGCTTCACCTGTTCTTTCATTATTTTTAACACTTTGTTTTGACTGAGGGAGCTGAGCTGTTCCCAGGGGCTTGGAGAAAGATCAAGTGTCTGGGCTGGGGTACCTTGATTTTTTTTTCCTGATCTTTTCTAGGGAGGTAATGTGTCATAATCCCAGTTTTGGGATAATGACAAGAGTACCGTGTGCCACAGTAGCATTAGGTTGTCCTCTGCTCTGAGACCCACCTGCAGCTCTGCCTCCAGCTCTGGGTCTTTGGCCCAGGAGAGGCCTGGACCTGCTGGGACCAGTTCAGAGGATGCCACAGAGATGCTGAATTCCAGGAATTTTATGTAAAAAACAGTTGCAGAAAAGTATCTGAAATAAAGATTCTGCCTGTCAGAACAACTTCCATCTGGTGCAGAAATTTGACTTCCACTGAAACACAAGTGTTATTACTGTAGAACCTCACGTTCCTAATGAGGAAAGCTTAAAATTCTGATCAATCCATCTGAAACAGGGACAAAATGACACGTTTCAAACCCCAGTGCCTGAGCTGACCCTGACCACAGGCTTTTGGTTGAGGTGATGATCCTTCCTTTTCCCTGAGGTCACTGAGGCAGCTGCTTCTGTTTGCAGCAGATAAACGAGTGGTGTGATTAATCCAGGCATGGTTTGCACTGGTTGTGGTTATCCCTGGCCTTGTGTTAAACAATTATCCTGGGTTTGGTAAATTTACGGAGGTTGTTGGGGTGGGGAAGCTGGCAGGTGATTAACTTTAGTGCTCTTTCTTTAGATAATGCAATTTGTTAAGACAGATGAGAGGTTCTGGAAGTTTGTGACTAATGCCTCGTAATGCTGGCAGAAGATGGGATCACTGCATCACTTCCAGGAGTATTGTCCTCCCTTTGCCTTGGAGGCTGGTTTCCTCTCCCCAGTTCAGCCCAGTGGTGGGGCTGGAGTCTTCCCTGGCCATGGAAGGGTCTGGGTGACATTTGGAATGTTTTGGGTTGGGTTTCCCATATCCTGTTGCTATTCCAGCCCAGCCCTTACCTATTGTTGGGAGCCCAGTGGCCACTGTGTGCTGCCCCACAGCCTCCCTGCCATGACATGGGTGTGCAGATGTTTCCTCCTTGCCCAGCCTCTGTCAGTGCCCTTTGCAGGTGAACAAACCCTGTTTGAAGTGTCTCAGCACTGGGTGGGATCTGGGACCATCTGGATCCTGCACAGGCTATTGCCCTGGCCATGGCCAGACCACCCAAGTGTTTTTCTGCTTTCTCGAGTGTGAAAGGGAGTCCAGGGATCCCTTAATGCCAAGGTGATAAATCCGGGTGCCTGTTCAGTCTCTGGATGCCTTGATTTCTGGGCAATCCTAAAATAGCCACAGAAATACCAGGAGCAGGAGCTGCCCACGAAGCTCTGCCTCTCTCCCTTAGGTCCATTAGTTGGTAATTGAGGAATCCAAACTTTCCAGGTCACACCTGCCATTGCTGGAGAGCTTCCAGCACCTGCACTGATGGCTGCAGGGCACATGCTGGCCAAACCAGACATCCCTGGGAAGAAGGGGAAAGGAACGTGTCCCAGGGCTTTAAACACTCCAAGCCCATAACTTTTGATAGCAGCTGGGGTGGGCCTGACCCAGCTCTTGGCCTGAAGCAGGCTCAGCTGCTCGTGGGTTTATGTCACACAGGGATAAGTGACTTTTAAGAGTGTTTGGCTGCCTTTCTGCCTGTAGTGGGAAACTGGCTCTTTACTGGAAGTGAGCAGTGATTCCTCCTGTACCAGCCCCTGGCAGCCTGTTGGGTTACCCTGCTGCTCTGGCTGGAGGAGCTGTGAGGAACCACCCGTGCTGGCAGCATCTCTAGGGCCACCAAGACAGACCTGTTGGTCCATTTGCCCTTCCCTTACGGACAGAGGCTCATCTCCTGCCAGATCTGAGTGCTGGAAGTACATTGCTCTTAAATAGCAGCAAAGTTTTTCTGCTTCGACAAAATTTGAAAATTGCTATTCGGTGTGTGAGGAGGGCTGAGGTGATGGGATGGAGCTGGGGATGGGTCTGTGCCACAGTGAAGAACGCAGAGCAAGAAGTGATTATTGGCTCTTGGTTCTTGCAGCCTTAGATAGGGAAACCAGACATGGGCTTGATGTTAGGGAGGGGATTGATGGCACTTTCTCAGCCAAAGTCTCTGTGACTCAAACCAACAGCATCACTGGGCTGGTATGAAATAAAACAGTTGCAAACCATCCAGCCAGGTCACCAGAACAAGAGCAAGCCCAGAGCCTGGTCCCTGTTGCTGAAGTATGTTCCTTGTCCAGGCTGGGGCTGGCTTTTGGGAAGAGGATTGGTAGATCTGCCTGGATTTACCTAGATTCAAATGCAGGTGACAGCAGCACTCCTTCCCCTGCTCCTGGCAGCCTCGTGTGTGCAGAACCTGCCAGGAGGAGAGGGATGTTTCCCACAGGCTCCAGGTAGTGCTGCACTGGAAACTGCAGTGGAACAGCCACGCTGTGATGGAGTGTAGCTGGGTCTCTGGGGGTCTCTGCACATGGATGAAATCCTCGAGTCCTTTGGGGTCAAGCTGAAGCCTTTGCACCCCTCAACAACCTTTTTAAATCAAGTGCAAAGTGGAGCTGAGCAATGCCTCGTTGGATGCTCCTCTCTCTCCCAGTCCATGGTGCTGTGCACAGCCCAAGTCAGCCTTGACTGTGTATCCACACTCCTGGCCAGGGCTTTTCCTGCTTTTTCAAGAAACAGATTTTCAAACAGGACCACAGAGCGTGTCCTCAGTTCCAGGTTAATTTCTGGGATCTGTGGAGTGCAAAGCAACGGAGACGCTCATTGAGCAGAAAGAAATTAGAAGGTGCTGGGTGTGTGAGGAAGGAACTCTCTGGTCTCGTCCTGCCTCCTCCAACCATGGCTGTGCCTCTGTTCCAGGATTCTTCATACCTCGATGAGCTCTCCAACAACAACTCCCTCTTCTCGTCCCCCCCGGATTCCCTCTCCGAAATCGCGGATCCCAAGGATTTCCTGCCCGCCGACAGCCTGAGCCACGTGCCAACACTATGGGATGTGAACACACCGCAGCAGAACCAGCTCAAGGTAGGGGCTGCTCCTTTCCCATCCTCCCAGCAGGCAGCAAGCACCTCAGGCTTCATCCCGTAGGGGTTTTACCAAGGAATTAAGAAACCAACCTGGTTCCTTCGGGTGAAGTTTGAGGTGTGGTGATGTTGTTTTGCTGTTAGCAGCTTCACTGGTGGAGGGAAGGGGTGAAGTGGTGTTAAGTCTCCTGGAAGCAGGAGGGAATCCCCTCTCGGTGGGATTTGTGCACTCTTGCAGAGTGCAGTGCAGGCAGTAGCTCTTTCTCCTGGCAGCCATGGCAGGTAGGTGCATGTCGCTGTCGAGGCAGGATGGGAATGAAGAGATTCTGACCAGAAGGCTGCTGAGAGTAAAATTCCAATTTATTCAAAATACACTGCTCTTTTATACAGAGCTTCGTGAGCACCAACTCCTGAGAGTAAAACTCTGATTTATTCAAAATACACTGCTCTTTATACAGAGCTTCATGAGCACCAACTCCTGAGAGTAAAACTCTGATTTATTCAAAATACACTGCTCTTTTATACAGAGCTTTGTGAGGACCAACTCCTGAGCGTAAAACTCTGATTTATTCAAAATACACTGCTCTTTATACAGAGCTTCGTGAGGACCAACTCCATTGGTCCTGAAGTGAAAACAACCCACAGCATTGGTGCAAAGTGCTTGATGCACAGTGATAGAACTTAACTATAAACAGTGTGAACAACAAGAGAGATAAAGAATTATTTATGTTCTTTCCCAACTCTTTCCCAGGCTTCTGCCTGGCTAGAAATTCTGTTTCTTTTTTTGATTGAATCTGAGACCCACAGGTGCGTCCTGTGGAGGATCTATCCCTAAAACATTCAGCAGGTCCAGGGCGCTTGGGAGTGCTGAAGTTTTGGACTCCAGGAAAACTACCCTGACATGGATCATTAACTTCCCCCCATGGCAGCACCTTTTGTTTGTTCATCAGGGCAAATAGTTCAGTAACAATGACTAAATAACTGTCTCAACTTAAGACTGACCGTTTGTGTTTACTTTGTGAGTGCAAGTCCCTGCAAGCTTTTACATCCCAGAGTTTTCTGGGGTGCAGGAGCTCCTTGCAGTCCTTCAGCACCAACTGATTGTGGCATTTTTTGGGCATTTTCAGCAGCCCTCTGCTCTCTGCTCTGCCTCAGCTGTGGGGCTGACATGGGCATCACAGGCTGGCTGGCTCTGGAGGTTTTTGGAGCCACATCATCCACATCCACTGGATCTGGGTCTCAGCTCTTGCAGTGCCTGTCCACCTGTGCCTCACATTTCCATTGTGTGTCACTCTCGTAGGAAGAATGAGAAAAAAACACCCAAAGTGGCTACCCCAGGGGGCAGCTGGGGTAGTCACTGCTGCATTTTGAGGCTCGGCTGTGCTCAGTTTCTCTGACTGTGCTTCCCTGAGCGGTCTGCAAGCCTCGGACCAGTTGGAACTTGCAGTTTGAGGCAGCAGGAAGAGAGCTGAGCTATTGAAATGCAAGAAATGGCTGCAGTCATCCCAGGCTTGCAAATTGGATGCTTAGAAGTGCTGGAGAGCAGATGCATTCCCCCCCAAGACAAGAGGAGCCACATGCCACATTGCTCCTGTTCTCATATTATTGTTGGGTTTTTATGTAAAAGCCTAAATCCCTGCAGAAATGGTTCTGTGGTGGGCTCTTTCCAGCCATGTGAACTCTGGTGGAGACATTCAATGCCTAGAAAGTCCTGGAGTTCTGCGTCTGTGGAGCGGACAACAAAAACTTACTGGGAAATGCTGTTCTAAATCCAGCATGAATTAAAAAACAAGGGAAAAATAAACGTTATGTGAGACTGACTTGTGTGACCACAGCAGGATCTCCAGCAGAGTCCTTGTCCCTGTGTTCTTCCTTGTCCCTAACCCATGATGTTCCTCATGCCCTGCCTTCTCCCTTTGTGTCCTCCTGATGAGCTCTTGGGCTCAGATAAGGCCAATTAACTCCTTGGAATTCCATTTATAAACGACTTCCTTTGGAAAGGAATCTCCAGCTAATTTTGAATGTTGTCTTATCTGTGTTTGCTGAGGCAGTTGGGGCAGGGTTGCTGCTTTTTTTGGGCTGTTTTTGAACTGAGTAATATTTCCTGAGGTGGTGTCAGTGAGGTGCCTCATGGACAGGAGATTTTGGTTGCATTTTTGTGTGGAAGTGGCAGCATGTACCTGGACACTGGGTAAAAGTACTGCCAGTTTGATTCACCACTGGCCTCTGCATACTGGTGTGGGACATCAGCAGCTTTGATAATCTTATCCCTCCCCACATCACTACACCATCATAGTTTTCCATAGAATTGCAGGAATTTTGGCTTCTGAGCAGCCAGAGCAGTCACTAAGCTACAGTGATGGAACATCCATCACATTCCTGTGATCCAGAACATCACTCATCTGTGGTTGTGCAGACAGTTCTGACCCACAGTCCACTGCTGGGTTATCAGGAGTGTAGTTTTTCTAGAACCTTTGTCTCAGAGGCTCAGACAGAGCAGGAACATCAGTGCCTCACAGTTCAGATGCTTGGGACATCCCAGGAGCCAAGCTGGATGCATTTTGGGGAGACCCATCTGTGGATCCCAGGTACAGGAACAGCCTTGTGCTTTGTCCTCTTTAAAAATAAACATTCCTAGCTCACTGAGAATCCCTGGGTTGAGGTGCCCAGTGGTGAATCTGGAGGTGGTTTGAGATCAAAGTGGAAAGGGCTGCACGCAGAAGTGCCTCTGTGTGCCAGTGGGGAGAGCTGTTATCCCAAGGAAAGGAGCTGTAGCCAATATGTTGGCTCTGTTTATCACTCAGGAATGGGCAGAGAGGGAAGAGCTGCTACTCTGTGAAATATTTTTGCAGGAGCAGCAGACAAAACATCTTTTATTGTAATGGAGTTGTGAAATAACCTTTTAAAAATAGTCCCTGTCATACATTGTGTTTTCTGTCATCCATCTCGCACATTCCCAGTGTTTTTAAGGCTGGGAAGCACAGCCCAGCCTTGGAAGCCTGTGACTGGAATTTGTGAGCTGCTGATGCAGTTTTTTGTTGCTCATTCACAGTATGTTCAAGATGTGAGCAGCCTTCTCCCAGCTCAGAACCCAGGGAAGGGATTTACACAGAGAGAGAGAGGTTGGCTTGGCAGCCACGTGGGACTGATTCCCTTCCCAGGGAAGTCACTGCAAGGTGGGACAAAATGGAGAATAATGCAGAGAAGAAAAAAGTGGAGTAAGAGCGAGGCTGTGATTGTGCAATTGTTGGTCTCTCTCCTATTTCCAGCCCTTGTGCTCTCATGGATCTGTTTTTCTCTTCTCCGGATGTCCTTAGCACAGAGGGAGGAGAAAATCAAACCAGGAGGTGAGGGAGGGTAGGGAAAAGCAGGAATTGTGCAGGTGGATGATCCGTCTCCCACTGCAGCTCCTGCTCCCCCTTGCTTTGGCCCTCTCAGCACATTCTCACCTGTGTGGGTGGTTTTCAAATGCCCCAAACAGCCAAGGTTCCTGTTGCTTCCTCTGCAATTCCCCAGGTGGAATGCTGAGTGCCAAAGCTGGTCAGGATAGCAAAGGTTTGTACTTTTGGGATTTTTGTGATGCAAACTCAGCCTTGCATTTGCTTCCTGCTGCTGGAGCTGCGAGTACATCCTGCCCTTCCAGCAGCTCCTGGCCTTTCTCCTGTCTGAGACCAAAATGAGTTTGGATTTGTAGGTGGGGATGTTTCACCTGCTCTCCAGATTTGCTGGCACTGAAAACACTTCTTCTGTCCAGCTTCCTTCTGGTAATTCTGACTCAGGCTTCCAGGAATGGAGGGTGGGTTTTTTCTTTCTTCTTAAATTTTATTTTAAAATAGGAGTGTTTATGCCTAAGACCTTCCCATCTTTCTCTGCTGCTGGTGGAGCATGGGTCTGTCATTGAGCCTGGTGCTCTGCACAGGCTGTAAATTGGAGTAGTGCTGCTCCTGGAGTTGCTGGTTGCTTTGGATGCCACGAGCTGCTGACCTGACCTCGTACTCTGTTGGGAAATTCCAGGGTGAATTTGTTTGTTTGTGTGGGAGCAAACAAAGGATCTCCTCAGCCTGGAGTGTCTTGGGAGCTCTCTCTCCTTCTGGAGTGTCCTGGGAGCTCTCTCCTGGCGAGCTGCATGCTCCAGGGATCACAGTGTCCAGGGGTCTTTGTTGGTGCATCTCCATCTTTGCCCCTCCTCACCTGCACCCTCTGTGTTGCAGCTGTTCTCAGTCAGCACCACGTTCCCTGGCGTGAACAGCTCCAGTGACCACGTTTCTGCTGTCCCCAGCACGCCTCTCCTCATCAGCTACCAGGTGAGAGCCCTGCTGGCCTCACTGGGATCTTCTGCTGACATCCCAGTGCTGGGGGGAGCAGTTCTGACCTTTTTCTCTTCAGAGGGAGTGAGACAAGAAGCTGGGACAGGCACAAGTCCCTGCCCTTGCCCAGAGGGGAGCCTTGCTGTGTTAAGGGACATTTTGGGCTCTGAGGACTTTGCTCTCTGCACGGTGCTGGGGGTAAAGCTGGGCCAGGTGCCTGCTCAGGGCACGTTGGGCAGGGTTCACATGACCCCATACCCCATGCCAAAATTGGTGCAAACTTCTTTTCCCAGTTTGGTGAGAAGCAGCTTTTACAGCCCCTGGGGTGGGCTCCCACTGGTGGCTTTCCTTAGTCTGGGATGAGAGGGATTGTGTTTAAGGGAGCTGTAGCTTTGGGGGATGGTTTCAGTGGCAGTTTGAGGCTGGGCACAGCACTACGCTTGTCTGTATCTCAGCAAGAACATTAACATTGGGTCAACGCTGTTTTCTTCAGTCTCAGGCTCCTGCAGAGGAGGAAGATGAAGGTGAGGAGGAAGAAACGGAGGAGTTGGGGCAGACGGAGACGTATGCAGAATATATCCCTTCAAAGTGTGAGTGTTGCCTTGGGAAATTCTGTTCACTCCATTGTGGACCAACCTAATAATATTAATAATAATAACTGTGTGTTTGCTGTGGCAGCTCCCAGGCTTGTGGTTTTCTAGGCAGAACTGTACAGCCTTGGGCTCTGGCTTGGTGATGAGCTCTGAGGTGCCACTGGGAGTAAAGACCTCGACTGACCTGTGTTCTGTTTTGTCATTCAGCCAAGATTGGGAAGCACCATCCTGACCTGGTGGTGGAGACGAGCACCCTGTCCAGCGTTCCCCCACCTGACATTACCTACAGCCTTTCCCTTCCCTGCTCTGTGGCTGACAAAGGCTCCCTGTCTGCACTACAGCTGGAAGCCATCATCTACGCCTGCCAGGTACCTCCTGCACCTCAGGTGGCTCACACCTGAAGGAAAATGCCTCTTGCAGGGACAGGTGTTCACCTGGGTTTTAAAATGACTCGTAATTTGGGTGATGAAACTCCTTTGGCATTTTAAATGCCTTTTGAAGGATTATTTGAAGCCTGGAGCTTCTGTGCGGTCTGTTTCCCAAAGAGGCAAGAACTTTGGACTTTTCTTGCAGAGAGTTTTACATTTTGGGGGGCTTTTTCATGAACTGCCACTTGTGAGCATGATCATGACTCCTGACCTTTCCTGCTGTTGTTTGGCTGAGCGGTGCACGTGCATCTGTGGGATGTGTGAAAGGGTTAAGTGGTGCTCACATCAGAACTCTTAGCAAAGGCAAATCTCGTTTAATTTTCAGTTCTGTTCTTGATTTCGCAGCAACATGAAGTTTTATTGCCCAATGGGCAGCGAGCTGGGTTTCTGATCGGGGATGGTGCTGGAGTCGGGAAGGGCAGGACTGTTGCAGGCATCATCTTTGAAAATTATCTTAAAGGGAGGAAAAAAGCTCTGTGGTAAGTTGTTGGTTTATTTTTTTTTTTTTCTCTTTTCCCGTAAGACCTTGGAGTTAGTTTGGGTCTGGAAGTAAGGAATTCTTTAGTGCTGATGTTGGCTTTAGAGTTGAGTCATGCTGTGGCCTTGGGTAAGTCGTTTCCACCTCTTAGTGCCTGACTGCTGCCTGTGAAATGGGAATATTCCTCCTGCAGCAGCCACGGAGAATGAGTCACTGTCAAATAGCAGGTTTTGTGCTCCTTGGGGTGAGATGTCAAGCTTGGTTCCGCTCTCCCTGGAATTTGGAGGGTTGTTCCTGGGTGCAGAGCCAGGAATATGGGGGCTTTGCTTTGCTGCAGATCACAGCCTGTGCCAAGGGGCAGATGGGGTGTGGGCAGTGGCAGATGTGAAAACTCTGCACAGCTCCTCCTGCTTTAATCAGAGCTGTTAATCACTGTGTGCCCAGACTCCCCGGGGACATACCCAGCCCCAGCTGCTGGGGGAGATATAAGCAGCCCTAGGAGGAGATAACCACCCCGCATGTCCTTCCCAGGTTCAGCGTCTCCAATGATCTCAAGTATGATGCTGAGAGGGACCTGAAGGACATCGAGGCCTCCCACATTCCTGTGCATGCTCTGAACAAGGTAGGAGAGGAGCTGCACTGCTCCCTGGAGCATTTGGAGGCTCTGGCTGAGCACGTGGAGCAGGATGAGGCTCAGGCAGCAGGAGAACCTCTGTTCCCTCCTCCCATCCAGCTCTTCCCACTCGAGGCTCCAGCTATTTTTATTGTGGAGCTGCACGGGGAGCACAGCGCTATTCCCTGCAGGGAGTGGGAAGTGTCTGCAGGCAACTGCAAGTGCAGCAGAACTGGAACCTTCTTCAGCATTCCTAAGGAATCCTATGGAGAGAACAGCTCTGTGGGGTGTGCTCTGCTCTCCTGGGCCAGCCTTTCCCAGTGCTGGTTCATGGAATCACTTCTCAAAGCTGTAGGGAGAGCAAAGATGCCTGGGCTGGTATCTGTTGTGGCCTGTGGTCGAGTCTGTGTCCAGAGTCTTCCAGTTCACCTAAATCCTCTCCTCTTGTTTTAATGGTATTGACACAGAGGTGTTTGACACCTCTGAGTGTGCTCCACTAAGAGATTGAAAGGGATTTTGTGTTCAGCCCCAAAAGACTTCAAACGGAACTTTCTTCAGCTTGGGACCAAGCCTTTCCCCCTTGTACTTCATTACACCCGTGGGAGTGGGACCCATGGCAGCAATCCAGGCAACAATCACACCTGGTCAAAGAGAAAATGGTTTTCTAGAAGGAATTAAAGCAGACAGGAAGGGTCAAAGCAATGAAGGACTCTAAACTGTTGCTTAAAAAAAGGAAGCACTTTTTTTGCCAGAAAATCTTTGTCCTCGCACGGTCCCCACAGTTCACTGCAGGCTTCCAGATGTGCTGACACATTGGCTGGGGCACTTCTCCAGGCATTTACAGTTCCTGTCATCACAATATTTCAGTGCCAAACACAAATGCTGAAGACATCAGCTACCAGCAGCTTTTTGCCTGTTCTGAGCTGAGGCTGAGATTTGTTCTCGGGGAGGGAATGTGTGTCCATGGGCTGGCGGCACGGAATGTGGGCAGGGATGGGTGTGACATGCCGGAGACAACAATCACAGTGTGTGTGTGTGTGCTCCTGCTCTTCTTCCTGCAGATTAAATACGGTGACACAGCTACCTCAGAAGGAGTCCTCTTTGCCACCTACTCAGCACTGATCGGTGAAAGCCAGGCTGGGGGACAGCACAGGACGCGCTTAAAACAGATTTTGGAGTGGTGCAGGGAAAACTTTGAGGGAGTTGTATCCTTAAAAAAAAAAAAAAACAACCAAGAGATAAAAACTGGAGAGAGAGAGAGGAACTGCTGCTTTTAATTGTGCTTCAGCAGGGAACAAAGAGCTTGGGGCCATGTGAAGCCAAGGGAGCAGCCCAGTGCCTTTGGGAGACAGGAATCCCACACCTCCCACACCTCCTCCTCCTCCTCCTCCTCCTCCCCCTCCCCCAGGTCCCAGGATGGGTTAAGAGGAGGAAGGAGGAGGGGAAGAAGCAGCTGGGATTAACCTTTTCAGCATTCCTCTCCCTCACTATTACAAGACACACCTTGGAGGTGAAGGGAGAGGGAGGAGGGGTGGATGACTTTGGGTCTGAAGAGCACAGGGCTGGGCAAACCCAGCAGATTCCACGTGTGGGCCATGAGTCAGTCCTGTTGATACTGGGACAGGTTGTTCAGTTGCTTGGAGGAGACTTGGTTCTATTTTCTGTCTGCTGCTATCCTCTGGATGAAAATAGATCCTTTTTCCTTAACTGCCACTCCCTTCCAGATTGTGTTTGATGAATGCCACAAAGCCAAAAATGCCAGCTCTACCAAAATGGGCAAAGCAGTGCTGGACCTGCAGAACAAGCTGCCTCGAGCAAGGGTTGTCTATGCCAGTGCCACAGGTGAGCTGCTCTGCCCACAGCGTGGGTGTGAGAGTGGCAGAAGGGGCACCCTGAGGTGTGAGTGTGTGTGAGATCCTAAGGAGAGGCCAGTGGTGCTGCAGGGCTAGAGAGGAGCTCAGCGTGCTGAGATCTGCCCCAGGCCCCATCACTGATGTTATTGTGACTTTTGGTGGGTCAGATTAATTTCTCTCCAGTTCCTGGCCAGCTGTTCCAGCTGCTTTTTGATGTTTACCTATGGAATGGAGGGAGGGCAATGTCCAGAAAGGTCTCCAAACTACAATGACAAATGACAACCTGTTCAGAGGTCTCTTCACTTGAGTCACAACTATTCCCAAGTGCTGTGGGTTTGCTGATGTTGATTTCTGTCCCAACAGGTGCCTCGGAGCCAAAAAACATGATTTACATGAGCCGCCTGGGCATCTGGGGGGAGGGGACCCCGTTCCGAGCCTTCGATGAGTTCCTACACGCGATTGAGAAGAGGTGAGGCCTGTCCAGCCCTGGGCACACAGGGGCCTTGTGTGGGAGGTGGTGCAGTGCCCGAGGATGGTGTGGGCTGTCAGAATCTGTGGTATTGATGATTCTGAGATTGTAGAAAGTCTCTGTCTNGAAGTTGATAAATGTTGGAATCTGAGGTATTGATGATTCCAAGATTGTAAAAAGTCTCTGTCTTTCTGCCCCGCTGCCAAAAAATAAGTCATCATTCGTCTGTGCTGGTTTTCAAGGTTGTTTATTCTGTTTATCTCTCACATGTTCTGCTGCCCTGCCCAGCTCTGTCCTGCAGGGCAGCGTGTGGGGCTCTGCCCTCAGTGGGATGTTACAAACATTAAATACCAAAAACTCCCTGGGCTGGATTTACAATAACGTGCCAATATCTGTCACCTACGTTGGACAGTGTGTCCCCAGCCTGAACCAACAGAAAAATGCCAACACCACAGTGAAACATGGAGGGCATGAAGAAGGAGAAAAAGGACAAGGCACACCCAATTTCCTCCATCTTGTCCCCTTTGCACCCCTTAACTAGAATCCTAAAATTTTACTTTTGCACCCGTGCCACACTTAATTGTTACTGATACCAAACCCTCAGAGCTGGTAATTCATCCTGTAAGATTGAAAACTCTTTTCCATGGGCAGAGATCACAGCCAGTGTCTCTGGGGGCTCTGTCCAGGGGGGTTCCTGACCCCTGCCAGGCTCCCAGGGCAGCCAGGGGGAAGCCCTGGATTCCCACAATGGGCAACATGATCTGGGGTGGGACTGGTTCTGCAGAGGCACCTGCCCTGTGCTGCCCCAGAGCAGAGGGAAGGTCCCACAGCAGGTCAGAGCTGGGGTTCACAGCTGTCACATGCAGTTGTGGAGTTCAGAGCTGGGATTCAAAACTGGGGTTCACAACTGGGGTTCCAAAGTTGGACCCACAGCTGGGGTTCAGACCTGGGGTTCTGGGGTGGGTCCCACAACTGTTGTCCTCTCCCAGGGGAGTCGGCGCGATGGAGATCGTGGCCATGGACATGAAGGTCAGTGGGATGTACATTGCTCGGCAGCTCAGCTTCACTGGGGTGACCTTCAGGATTGAGGAGATCCCTCTGGACGAGCAGTACAAGGCTGTCTACGACAAGGCAGCCAAGCTGGTGAGCTGGGCCCCTCGTAGGGGGAGGCTGAGGTGTGACCATTCTTTGGGCACAGCCACTAGTATGTGGCAGGGTGTGAGGCCCCTAAATGTGGCCATGACCTCAAACGTAGGAAGGAAAAGGGGTACACAATGCTTAGCTGATGTAATGAAAGAACTTAGACTTTTTTGCTTGTATTTGGAAGTTCCACATTTGCAAACCAGAGCCGCATCTTGCTGATGGAGAGGATGACCAGCGTCCATTCAGCCCAACGCACGCTGATCCTAAATCAGCTTATCAACCTTCAGACTGTTCTGATCGCCTCCTGCATGGGCAGGAATGACGGTGGGAATGACATTAACTCATTCTTCTTGGTGTTATCTGCAGTGGGCAGAGGCCTTGATGGTGTTCCAGCAGGCAGCTGACTGCATCGGGCTGGAGTCTCGGAAGTCGCTGTGGGGTCAGTTCTGGTCGGCTCACCAGCGCTTCTTCAAGTACCTCTGCATCGCCGCCAAGGTGCGGCGCCTCGTGGAGCTGGCTCAGGAGGAGCTGGCCAGGGACAAGGTATGGGAGCAGCACCCTCCTGAAACCAGGCTCCTCATTCTGTCCTCTGGACAGGACAGAACGCACGTCGAACCAATATGGTTCATGCAACGTTCTCCCTTTATTCCAGAGAAGATGGCAGTTTATATACACCTCTATATATTTTACAGTTTACAAAGGCACTCTCATTGGCACGCTAACATTGTTTACCTTAGCCTTAAGGTGGTCAGGCTTTTCACACTGCAGCTCTACCCTAATTCACGGTCGGATAGCTCATTACTTTGTAGTTACCTTAACATAATTTCAGCCACAGCTGAGTTCTCACTGCATCAAAGGCTTCCAGGCCCCACCAAGGCCACTTATCAGGGTCCTGGTCTGAGGGGCAGCTCAATTCTCACTCCAGACATAAATCATGCCCTCTCTCTCTCAGAAATTCTGCAACACCCACCAGCCTCACCTGGGGTTCTGTGTAGTCTGCAACCAAAGGGAGTTAATTATTGCTCAGCTTGACAACCAATCCAAATCTCTTTAAGGCTGAATTTCTCTCAGAGTGAAGGGCAGTGACTGGGTTTCTGAGAATATTCCCAGTGAATTATGCTGGGGAGTTAAGTTGGTCTCATCTCCTGAGGTGTTGCCTGCTGTTTGTGTGGGCAGGCTGGGCTGGGAGGGGATTCTTGGTGATGTTCAGGCTGGCAGTGTTCAAGGCCAAGTTGGAGAGGGCTTGGAGCAAACTGCTCTAGTGACATTGTCCCTGTCCCTGGCAGGGGCATGGAATGAGATGAGCTTTAAGGTCCTTCCAATCCAAACCAATCTGGAATTCTACAATTCTAGAAGAGGTACCAAACCTTTCACCTTAAGTACAGTTCTGTCCTTTCTTCTGTCTAGGTGCACCTTAGAGATTTTAGGCAGAAATTTCCTAGCACAATCAGTGAGGTTCTGTGCTCAGAGTCCCCCTGTGTGGGGCCAGCGCAGGGGGGAGTTGATGCTGAAAGATTTGAGAGATGGTTCATCCTCAGGAGCCTTGCTATGGGTCCAGCATGGATGTACCTGGAACAGGGGCCAAGGGGACATACCTGGGCCTGGGAAATTCCTGGAGCCTGTGGCAGTGCAGCTGCCCTGGCACCTCACCGTGCCACCCCTCGTGTCCCTCATCACTCGTGTCCCCACAGTGCATTGTCATCGGCCTGCAGTCCACGGGAGAGGCTCGCACCAGGGAGGTCCTGGACGAGAACGATGGGCGCCTCAACTGCTTTGTCTCTGCTGCAGAGTGAGTTAAGAATCCCTCTTTTCCTTTGTGGGCTGTGTGGGAGGCCAGAGGGGTGGGAGGAAAGCTCTGCCCTGGGGCACAGAGCACTGGCAGGTCTTCAAATGCAGTTTGATGTCACCTCCCCCTCTGTACCACAGAGGGGACACTCAGGTGGGTCCTTGAGGCACTGTATCCTCAGTGGGACTATGTGAGCTACATCCTGGATTTTGAAGTCTCCCATGGACTTCCAGGAAGAGCCTGATCCTACTCTCTACACACATAAAAGAATTGTGAGAAAGAGACCCAGAATTGTAGCTCAGGGGTAGTTTGTGTGGATCTGGCTCTGAAAAATGAGGTTGTTGACACAGAAGAAATGAGCAAGAGAATTTCCTGTGGTGGCAGATGCTGGGATAATGCTGTGAGGTGGTGTCAGTGGAGCAGGGGGTGGGAGGAGTGCTCTGAGGAGTTTAGATCCACCAGTGTTGGCTTTTTGCTCATGTCTAAAGTAGGCCCAGTGTCCTGGCTGTGTGACCATTATTCCCAGCTGGCAGGAGAGCTGCCTGTGCCAGGAGTGAGCCAGCAGCAGGACTTATGCTGCCCATTCAGCAGATAGTGAGGTTCTGCTCCCGCTTCTTCCTGCAGCTTCCAAAAATACCCCAGCCTGTCCCTGAATGCAGTTGTTCCTGCATGACAGGGGACAAAAATCTGGGATTGGTTTGGGTTTCCACTGTTCTGCAGAGCTATTTTCTTCCAAGTGACTTCTGCTGCAGGTGGGAGCAGTGAGACATGCCCAAGGCAGCGTGAGGCCAGGTTAGGCTGAGCTTTCCTCCCCTGTTGATGGGGGTTTGAGTTGTTCTCTGCCACTCCTCTGCCTCCAGCCCATTTCTGAAAACCAAATACGGTTTGGTGACAGTGCAGAGGGCAGGTCTGGCAGCTCCTTGGGTGATTTGACCCCTTGGACTGGTTTCCACGTCACAGAACTCCAGTCTAGGGGATGGCATGGTCCCTGGCTGAGTGGTGCTGGAGGAGGGGTCTGTCAGGGGTCCCACTCTGTGGGAATTGCTGCCCACTCCCAGGGGCAGCAGCTCTGTGTTCCATGGTCCTGGCCACATCACCAAGTGTCTCCTGGCATCTGCTCAGCCTCCAAATATGTGTCCTGGTGTTCCAGCATTTGGGGGATTTCTGGAGAGGAGTGTGCTGGGAAGGAGCAGTTTAATGATGTTGAGAAATGGGGTTAAAAATAAACATGGTCCTTTGAGTGGATTCCAGCCCAGGGCTGTTTTCAGGGAGATGGGGAGGGAGGGGAATTACTGGAATTTCAGCTGGGAATCACAGCTGGGAGGCTCTGGAGTGAGTGGTCATTGGGTCACCCCAGCACACAGACAAGGGGTCATTTCTGTGTCACATAACTGCAGTCACAGAGCTCTGTCCCTCTGGGGAGCCTTGTGGTCACTGTCCCCTTCAGCCTCTCATGCCAAGGGTCCTGGAGCTCCCTCCCCAGTTCATAAGTCTCCCTTTTGTCACCTGGGGGAGTTGTCATGTCCTTTCTCTCACCTGTTGCTTGCTACGTTTGGTTTTGGGTTTTTTTATTATTTTTTTTTTCCCAACCAGAGCTCAATCAGCACCACCCCATTGCCTTGGGGGTTTCCTCCACACGGCATTTAAACATTTGGTCTTTGATTTGCAGAACAGCCCACAGAAACCTTTTAATTTCACCTTTTCTGACTTTTTTTCCTTCCATTCACTTGGAACAACTACAGATCCATGTTCTGTCCCTTGGTTTTGTGGGAAGCAGGCCCACGGCCAGGGAGTCAGGGAGTGGGAGGACTTTGGTGGATCATTTTTGTTGGATGGTCTGACAGTGGTCTGTGCTCTCAGGGCATGGAGAGGGGCTGGGACACTGGGGCTTACTAGATTTTTGGTGTAACAGTTTCCTAATGAAGTATTTCCCATTTAAAACTCCTTCTTGGTTGTTATATAAAGGACCTGCAGGTCCAAGAGCCACCTTGTACCGAGGGCTGGCTGAGCCCAAGCTGGTGGCCATGGATGGGGTGGATTGACCTCTCTTCCATGGAATGTGGGGCTATCCCAGACACATATTGCTATGTGATAACCAGCACATGTTGCTGGCAGCTGGAATAAATTTTGCATCTTACTTTCAGAGGCGTCTTTCTATCACTAATTCAGAAGCACTTTCCTTCAACCAAAAGAAAGAGAGAAAAAGGAACTGGCATTAAAAGAAAACGTAAGATCTCCCTCACTCTCAGCCCAGCCCCTGCCTCCTGCCCTGCTGCTGCCCCTAGGCCACTCAGCTTCTCTGCCTTTTGCCCTTCTCCCCACTTCATGCTTTTTTGCTCTCCCTGGTTTTGATTTGCCCTCCTGCACATCTCCCATTGCTCCCTCATCCAGAGGACGGCAGCTCTGGGTCTTCCCCCCTTTTCCTCCCTCTGCTCCACTGCCCTTGCCCTGACCCTTCTCCTGGACCCACGCTGGGGGCAGATGGCACAAGGCCTGGCTGGTGTCTGAACCCCTCCTGCAGCACGGGGGGTCCTCCACAACCCCTTCCTTAGAGCACAGAGGGTGTCCTAAGGAAAAAAATAATTTCCCTGCTGAATTATTTGTTATGGCTGCAGGTAAGGAGAGTTTTGGGATTTCTCCTCCAGGGGGAAGAGGGGGCAGCAGCACTGGCAGATTGTGGAGCAGCCTGTGCAAGCTGATCCATGAACTCTCTTACGCAGAGGGGGCATGTTGTGCTGTGCTTTGTGTCCCAAAACACCAGTACTTTCCTGTGTACTGCACACTCCTCTGGAGGCAATCCCCTGGGATTCCTTCCCTGAGGAGTTGGCACTGCTTAGAGCCAGCCACGTGCCCATCCTGACGTGTGCAGCCAACTTCAGCTCTGCTCAGGAGTGCCTCGTTCTTCCTTTCTCTCTCTTCCTTTGTCTTTCCTGCTCTCCCTCCCTCCTTAACTGCCACCCCCATGCCAGAGGCTGTGTCTTTCTGAGGTCAGACCCATTTGGGGTAGGCTCAGCTCTTTTGGGATTCCTCCTCTCTCTGCTCTGTCCCTCTCTGCACTGTTGCTGTGTGCTGCCCTGGTGCCCTGCTGGGGCTGGGGCTGTGACCCTGCTCCCTTTTGGTGCAGGGCGTCCCAGGGGCCGCTGCCCCAAGGCTCTGCGGGGCCCGTGTGACCAAGGGGTCGTCATCAAGATCAGCGATGACAGCAGCACCGACTCGGACATGGGGCTGGACAGCGACCTCACCTCCTCCCCGGAGTCCCTGTTAGAGACAGACGATGTCATCTTCGTGGATCACACCTTCAGCGGCTGCCCTGGCGAGGACAGGGGTGAGCAGGGGTGACACAGGGACAGCTGGGGAAGGCAGCACAGTGTCCTGCAGAGACCCCTTCAGGCTTGGGGCAGCTTTGTGATCCTGGCTGGATTTTATCCTGGGGGTCACTCTTGGGCTTGTGTAGGGTGGATCCACGTTCACCCGCTGTGATCAGCCCTGTGTGCTCCTTCCCCCAGCAGAATGGGAAGCCCAGAGGGAATTCACTCCGTGCTATTTATTGCAGGTCGTGGTGCCTTTGTCCAGCAACAGTGCCCCCAGAAACCCTCTGGGACAACTTTTTCCTCCTCTCTGATGTCCAGTTACCAGGGAACTCTAAAATTCTGCCTTTCCCCATTGTAGGTGGTTTCCACATGCTGCCTTCCCAGAAAGAGCTGCACAACCTGAGAGAGCTGAAGGTCGAAAAGATGAAACAGGACCTCCTAACAAAAGTGAAAGCACTGGGCAAAGAGCTACCTCTCAACACCTTGGATATACTGATTGATTATTTTGGGGGCCCAGAAAATGTGGCTGAGGTACTTCCCACTGTCAGTGTATTTTGGTGGCACAGGGTGACAGGGAAAAGGGCCAGCAAAGAATCAGAGAATCATGGAATGGTTTGGGTGGGAAGGGACCTTAAAGATCATCTCATTCTACCCCTCTGCCCTGGGCAGGGACACCTTTCACTATCCCAGGTTGCTGCAGTCTCCATCCACCCTGGCCTTGGACGCTTGCAGGGATAGGGCAGCCACAGCATCTCTGAGCAACTTTTGCCTATACAGGGGACAATTTCTTCCATTAAAAAAAAAGTCTTGCTGGCAGAGAGTTCCCTCTCCCTGTGAGAGGAAAAAGCTGTTGGGAATTGACTGGATGGCCTTGCTGGGCTCTGTGGTTCCCCAGCCTGGAGCAGCCCCTCTCCTGTGTGCAGATGACGGGCAGGAAGGGACGGGTGGTCCGCAGGCCCGACGGCTCCGTCGTCTTCGAGTCCCGCGCTGAGCAAGGGCTCTCCATAGACCACGTCAACCTGAAGGAGAAGGAGCGTTTCATGCAGGGGGAAAAGGTGAGCTGGGGTCCAGCTCTGAAAACCTGCACAGGACTGAGTGTGTTGATAGGCAGAGGGCAGGGAGGGTGTCTGTGCCTCCGTGTGCCCTGCCAGCCTCAGGCCAGCAGCTCTCTGTGGGTTTCACCTGCTGGAAGGAGACAAAGCCCCCCAGGTCCCTTGGAGGGCTGGGGCTGCTGTAGTACCTGGGGCTGGTTCTTGAAGCTGTTTAACACGGTTCAGGAAGCTCACTCTGTTCTCACTCGTCTCTCTGTAGCTCGTAGCGATAATCTCAGAGGCCTCCAGCTCAGGGATCTCCCTCCAAGCAGACAGACGGGTGAAGAACCAAAAGCGCCGGGTGCACATGACCCTGGAGCTGCCCTGGAGCGCAGACCGAGCCATCCAGCAGTTTGGTGAGGGCACTGTCACCTCCTCTGGGCACTGTCACCTCCCCTGAGCGTGGGCCAGGTGTGGTGGTAACCCAAGGTGGATTTAGGAGTATCTCTGTCGGGAGGAGAACAGAGGCACAGTCACTGGTGCTGCCAGATTTGGCAGAGCTGGGTTTATAGCCCTGAGCTCTGGGGCAGAGGATGGACTCTCCGGGGTGAGAAAGATGGGTGTTATGTGGCTTTTGTGGTTACATTCCCATTCCAGACAGGCCATCCCAACCTCCTGTTCCATCCCTGTTCCCACGTCCCTGTAGGCAGAACGCACCGATCCAACCAGGTCTCTGCTCCCGAGTACGTGTTCCTCATCTCGGAGCTGGCAGGGGAGAGGAGGTTTGCATCCATTGTGGCAAAACGCCTGGAGAGCCTGGTGAGTGCCCACAGCAGAGATCAGCTGTGATCCCAGCACAGCTCTGAGCCCCTCTGAGGAGATTCTGTCAGAGCTCCCATCAACGTGGCCACTGTGACTGGGGGGTTTGTGTCACCCCTGGCTGAGGCATTGCAGTCACGGAATGCAGAAGGCTTTTAGCATCCTGGGATTTGGGAAAGGAAGTGAGGAGAACGTGTAACCCAGGCGTTGGGAGGAATTTCAGGGGAGCAAGCACCCGCTTCCAGATTCTGCAATTTTCCCACTATTACTGGAGTATACGCCCATATTATTCCCAAAAAGCTTACGAAATAATTAATGGAATAATTGGTTTGCCTCCGTTTCATTTGCTTCACTTCTGATAAATCCCCAAATCTTTTGGTGAAGTCTCAGTATTCCAGAGGAACACTGCCTCCCCATGGCACATTTGCAGACATGCCTTTGGCCATCCTTCCCTGGTGTTTTGCAACAGCTCAAAATTAGAATATTTGTTCCATCTGCCTTCCCAGGGTGCCTTAACTCACGGGGACCGACGCGCCACCGAGTCCCGAGACCTCAGCAAGTACAACTTCGAGAACAAGGTGACAGGGCTGGGCTGGGGCAGTGTGGCTGAGAGGATGTTGGAAGAGCTGGGAGAGGGAGCCAGAGCCAGGAGGATCATTGCTAGCATCTGCAGGCAGGGCCCAGCCTGGCAGCCAGCTTCCAGCTCAGAGTCACGGTCACACTGAGGATCTGCTCCCCTGGGGCTGGGGAGGGCACCCAGTCCCCTACCCCTGTACTCCATTGCCCTGGGGGCATGGGAGGCACTGACACAGCGTCCCCCTTGCCATGTCTGTGGCCTTCCTGGGGCGACAGTGTTCTGTGTAGCGTTTGACACCCTCAGCAGTGTGTGACACCCTCAGCAGTATCACCCTCAGCAGTGTGTGTCACCCTCAGCAGTGACACCCTCAGCAGCGTGTGACACCCTCAGCAGTGACACCCTCAGCAGCGTGTGACACCCTCAGCAGCGTGTGACACCCTCAGCAGTGTGTGTCCCCTCAGCAATGTCACCCTCAGCAATGTGTGTCACCCTCAGCAGTGTGTGACACCCTCACACTCTCAGCAGTGTCACCCTCAGCAGTGTGTGTCACCCTCACAGCGTGTGACACCCTCAGCAGTGTGTGACACCCTCAGCAGTGTGTGTCCCTTCAGCAGTGTCACCCTCAGCAGTGTCACCCTCACAGTGTGTGACACCCCCACAGCGTGTGACACCCTCAGCCCAGCTCCGCTGCCCGTGTGTGACTGTGTCTCCTCCCGCAGTACGGGGCCAAAGCCCTGGACAAGGTCCTGAACACGATCCTCAGCCACACGGAGAGCAGGGTTCCTGTGCCCAGCAGCTACGAGAGAGGCGAGGACACCTTCTTCCGTGGTGAGAACATCACCAGCCCCAGGGCTGCTGCTGGCTGGGTTGGTCTCGGGTTTGGGATGCTGGAGGAACCCAGCAGGAGGTCAGAGGGAGAAAACAGTGGGATAAAAACAGAGGGAGAAAACAGTGGGATAAAAACAGAGGGAGAAAACAGTGGGATAAAAACAGAGGGAGAAAACAGTGGGATAAAAACAGAGGGAGAAAACAGTGGGATAAAAACAGAGGGAGAAAACAGAGGGCAAAGTGCTGCTGGCTCACGATGCCACCCTGCCAGGCATGGCGAGGGGCTGGGTTCCTGAAGGGGAAGGACCCCAAAATACTAAAGATGCTTAACCCCAAAATACAAAAGATGTTTTCTGCCATTCCAGAAATGAAGGAAGGGCTCATCTCCGTGGGCATCTGCTGCAGCCAGATGAAGTATGGCACCGTCTCCGTGGAGAAGGGTATGTGAAGAGATGGGAGTGGCATGGCCTGCCTGACCTCGTGGGGTGTTGAAGATTATTTCAGGTTCTGGGGTGGCTTTGTGTGGTGGAAAAATTTTTTTTTTAATTTCTGTTTTTAAAGAAAGGTTTAGTAGTTTTTTGTTGGTTGTTTATTGTAAGTTATTTAAAAGATAGGTTTTTTGGGTTGTTGTGGTTTGTTTAGTAGTTTAGGTAAAGGTATATATACTTTTGACTTTTTTTTTCTTTTTTCTTTTTGTGTTTTTTTGGCTTTTTTTGTTTTGTTTTTTTTTGTTTAGGGCTGGTGTTATTTTTTATATGGTATATTATGTGTTACATGCTTATAGCTTTTTTAAATATTTATTACTTATATTAAATGGTGTTTTTTATTTTAAATTAATTTGTGAGTGTTAATATTACTAAAAATATGGAGGTAAGGAAGAAGAAAGAGGGATGATAGGATAGGCTTCGATTTTTTATTTTAAAATGTTTGATTTTTTTGTATAAAATAGAAACTTTCTTGTATAGGTGTTAAAACTCTTTTGTATAGCACTAATTTTTTTTTTATTTTGTAACTATTTTTATTATAACATTTAAACTTCTGTGATTTTTTTTTTTGTAAGGTTGGTAAATTATTTTATGGCTCAAATTTAAAATTACATCTGTATTTAGCTGCTTGCTAGGGTCTTAAATGCTTTTGATTTGGACTTGGAACTTTTAAAAACATCTGAGGGACATTTTGAGTTCCCACAATGGGGTTTGATGGGCACCTGGGCAAGATGTTTGCCTTGTGGGGAGGGTCCTGGAGGAGATCCTGCAGATCCCGTGGCCCCCCAGCTTCCTCACAGGAGCAGCCTTGGGCTGGGTTACTGTCAGAAGGGACATGGTGGGGCTGCTGGGGTGTCAGAATCTGTGGTGTTGATGATTCTGAGATTGTAGAAAGTCTCTGTCTTTCTGCCCCACTGCCAAAGCAGAAGCCATAATTGGTCTGTGCTGGTTTCCAGGTTGTTTATTCTGTTTATCTCTCACATGTTCTGCTGCCCTGCCCAGCTCTGTCCTGCAGGGCAGCGTGTGGGGCTCTGCCCTCAGTGGGATGTGACAAACATTAAATACCAGAAACTCCCTGGGCTGCATTTACAAGAACGTGCCAATATCTGTCACCTACGTTGGACAGTGTGTCCCCAGCCTGAACCAACAGAAAAATGCCAACACCACAGTGAGACATGGAGGGCATGAAGAAGGAGAAAAAGGACAAGGCACACCCAATTTCCTCCATCTTGTTCTCTTTGGACCCCTTATCTAGAATCCTAAAATTTTACTTTTGCACCTGTGCCACACTTAATTGTTACTTATATCAAACCCTCAGAGCTTGTAATTCATGCTGTAAGATTGAAAACTCTTTTCCATGGGCAGAGATCACAGCCAGTGTCTCTGGGGGCTCTGTCCAGGGGGGTTCCTGACCTTGCCAGGTTCCCAGGGCAGCCGGGGGAAGTTCTGGATTTCCACACTGTTGGGGCTTTTTGGAAGGGGGCTGCTTGGTTCCAGCTGCACCACTTCACGTGTCCCACCGTGCTCTTGTAGACTGCTCCATCACCAAATTCCTGAACCGTATCCTGGGCCTGGAGGTGGACAAGCAGAACATGCTCTTCCAGTATTTTTCTGACACCTTTGACTACCTGATTGAGAAGGACAAGAAGGAGGGCAAATACGACATGGGCATTCTCGGTATGGAGAAGGAGGAGCGCTCACAGCTCTGCCTCCTGCACCCCTGGGGTTCCAGCTCCTCCCTGTGCAGTGTCCCCACCCAGCACAGATCCTGAAACCCAAGGAGGTGCTTTTGGGAGGATGTTCTTGATAGCAGCCTTTTCTCCTTCCACAGATTTAGCCCCAGGAGTGGATGAGATCTACGAGGAGAGCAAGGAGGTTTTCCTGACCCCGGGGCACCCGCAGGATGGGCAGGTTGTGTTCTACAAGGTGGGCACCTGTCTGTGCCTGGTTCTAGGCTGTGCTGAGGGGAGATTGGTGAGGCAGACACCGAGGCACTTGTCCTGCCCCTGGAGTTACAAATCCCTCTGTGTGTCCCTGTTCAGATCAGCGTTGACAGAGGCTTAAAGTGGGAGGAAGCCTATGAGAAGTCACTCAAACTGACAGGAACCTTTGATGGGTTCTACCTCTCCTACAAGGTACGTCCCTGGGCTCTGCCAGAGTGGCACCTCAGCTCCGGGGTGATTCCAGCAGGAAATCTGCCATGGTGGTATGAGTTAATTCTTCCTGAGGGCTGGGAAATGCCTCCAAGGACCTCCATCCTGGCAGGAAGGGGTTAGTTTAGAGAAATCAGGGGTGGGAGGCTGTGCCTGTGACCATCAGCTGTACCCCACAGGTGCGAGGCAACAAATACACCTGTCTGCTGGCAGAGCAGTGCCGTGGGAAGAACTTCATCCTCTACAAGCCAAATATTGGGAAGCAAAGCCAGCTTGAGAGCCTGGACAGTCTGCAGAAGAAATACCGACGGGTAGGTGGAACCTGCAGCCTCCAGTGTGGGGGCTGGGGGAGGTTGGGAGGGCATTAGTTGTAACCCTGTCACAGCTCCTCGTGGCTCTGTTGTGGATGGGCAGGGATGGTGGTAGCATTAGGTGTCCTGACTCCCAGCCCTGCATTTCACATCTCTTCATCCTGGACGGTGGAAAATTCCTAATGCTGAGTGTTCTGCTGCAGGTGCTGCCCGAGGAAGCCAAGGAGCACTGGGAGAGCAGCTACCACTTCTCCTTGAAGAAGTGTAACCATGCCATATGGTAAGGCAGCTGCAGCCTCAGCCTGCACAGAATCTCAGGATGGTTTGGGTTCAAAGGGACCTTAAATGAAGCTCATCCAGTTCCATGGCAGGGGTGGATAGCGAGGCCTTCTGCCAGGTTGCTTCATCCAACCTGGCCTTGAACACCTCTGGGAATGGGGCAGCCACACCTTCTCTGGGCAGCCTGTGCCCTCACCACCTTCACAGGGAGGAATTCCTTCCCAATATCCAATTTACATCTCCTCACTTTTCAGATTAAAGTTGTTAAGCCACATCCTCCCTCCGTAGGCAGTACCCTGCGCCCTGGGGGGTCCCCGATTTTGGCAGTGGGGAAGTGAATCCCACTCAGCTGCAGGAACCTGTGCTAATTCCAGTGGTTTTCTCCCATGGTCCTGGAAGGAACAAGAGCTGCAAGCAGATCCAGGAGGGGAAGGATTGCTTCCAGGGCATGCGCCTGAGGCACTATTACATGCTGTGTGGGGCCCTGCTGCGCGTGTGGAGCAGGATCGCCGGCATCATGGCAGACATCACCAGCAGCAGCTACCTGCAGATCGTGCGCCTCAAGACCAAGGAGAAGAAGAAACAAGTCGGTGTGTGAAGTGCTGGGAAGGGGGGAGCAGGGGGAAGCTGCCCAGCACCAGGATTCCCTTCTTAAAAGGGGAGTGTTCCAGCACACGCTTCTGAGGTGATCCCTCCTTCCAGGAGGGGAGTTGGATGTGTTTGGGCAGAGGGGGTGAGCCAGGCTCATCTTCCTCCTCCCAGTGCTGCCTCCCTTTCTCTCTGTCCCCACAGTGCCCCATCCCTTCCCAGAGTGCTGTGGGGATGTTTTGAATGGAGAGGGGAGAGCTTGGACAAGTCCCTGCCTTTGACAGGTTTCTGGCAGTAGACAGCAGCCCAAAACCCACTCTCACTTGCAAGTTCTTAATAATGAAGAATCAGGCCATGAATTATTTATTTGAATAGGCCAAGGAAAACAGACAAACAGATTCACTTGCTACATAGGATAAACAAAAGAAACACCAGTAGTAGATAAAGGTACCTATGGTACAGCTGGCAAAGAAATATTATAAATTAGGAGTCAGTGTCACTGAGCAACAAATGATAGTGGTGTACAGAGAATGTCTTTAATTTCTCTCAGTCCCCAAGGGAAGTAATTTGATGCCCATGTCTTGGTTGTCGAGAACTCTCCACACACTCAGAAAGTGCATTAGAGATTTCTGATTTCATGAAAATCATAGTGGCCTTTTATAGCTGTAAAAATGCTTGTGTCCTGCAGTCACTAATTTTCCTTTCTTACACCAAGACAGAGTGCTTGTTGCTGGCTGAGGTTTTCTGCTAAGATAATTAATCCCATGACAATTCCAGTCTGACTTAGCCACGTGTCACGGGGAGATAAGGTTTTGCTGTATTGGGGGTGAAAGGTCCTGCCACAGGAGACTGATGTCTGTTCCTCCCCTAGGGATAAAGATCCCCGAGAGCTGCGTCCACAGGGTGCGGGAGGAGCTGAAGCAGATGGACGAGGACGTGAAGAGGAAGCAGAGCCGGCTGCTCCAGGCCCAGGAGCAGAGCTCACCCTTCTCCCTGCCACTGCACATCCTGCCAGGGCCTGGGCTGCCCCTGCCCTCCCTGTGCCAGGACGAGATCCTGGACTTGACCTACAGCCCTCCCAGCAACAGCATTCCTGACTTGGTGTTGAACGCAGAGGCCAGAGCGCCCTGCTTCTCCTCGGAGCCCCCGCTGCAGCCCCAGCAGCAGCACAGATTGTCCTTCGGCTTTGGCCACGCTGGCCTGGAGGGCAGCACAGCCCCCGGCCCCTCGCTGCATGAGCCCCCCGCCCTGCCCCCCGCAGCCCCCCTGCAGCAGCCACAGGAGGATTTTCTCCAGCAGGAGAATATCAATTTTAGAGAGGTGCTGGAGGACATGCTGAGGACGATCAACGGGCCCTCCCAGAACGTGCTCCCCCCGGAGCGCCAGAGCGTGATCCAGTTCAGCGGGCCGTTCTCAGACTTCTGAATGCCAGCTGGGAACGCTGCTGTGGATCTGTGTTCTCTGCTGCACAGGTGAGAGCTGAGGAGCCGTGACTTTTCTGTTGGTTTGGACTGACCCTGCTCTGGATTTGAGGGAAGAAAAAGCCTGGAGTTCCTTAAAGCGAATTTTATTTATATATCCTATTTAGTCAGGCATGTGCAGGTTTGTATGGAACAGGCCCAGGAGGAGCTGAGCGGGTCCTGCTGGGCCCAGGGGCTCTGCTGAGTCCTGCTCACAGGTCAATCCCAAGTGGGATTGAGGGGAGACCCCTCCTGTGCCCACCCCCTGCAGACTACTGAGTGTCCGAGCCTTCCCCAGCCCTCCTGCCCTGGAGGGTCACGGCCAGGCTCTGGAATGCCCTGCTGACCACATGCTGGTCAGTTAGGGAAGAATGGGAGTTCAGCCCCCAGCTTGGGCTGCCCCAGCACTGCTGCAGAGCCTGGCGCTGTGCTGGTAGGCTGGCATGAAGGGGAAGGGAATGTTGTCCCAGAGGAGCTGGAAGATGCTGAGCTCAGGTGTCCTCTGGCAGGGCTGAGCAGGTGTGGTGAGAGATCCAAAACTGCTTGTGCTGCCCTTCCCAGGAAGGGACCTTGAGCTGCCTGAGCTCTGTGAGAGTGGCCAGAGCTGTCTGCACCCCACAGACTGTGTACCCCACAGCCCCTTGGTCTGTCAGAGCTCAGCCACGCCAGGATCAGCAGGATTCTCCAGAGCAGAAGGGACACGTGTCCCCTGTCCTGCACTTTAACCTCACCAGGTCGCCGTGACCAGACGTGCTTTGGCCAGTTTCCTGCTGTCACGTGTTGTCCCTTCACCTGGACATCTCGCTGGTCCTGCCGCTGTCCTTGGCTGGGCCAGGGACCCGGGTCCAGGGCTCTGGGTCAGGTTGTGCAGTGTCATTGTCACTGCCGGGGTGTGAAGTGTCTTTGCAGTGGCCAGGATGTGCAGAGTCACTGTTCAGGGCGTGCAGTGTCATTGTCACTGCCTGAAATGTGCAGTGTTATTGTCATTGCCCAGGGTGTGCAGTGTCAGTGTCACTGTTCAGGGTGTGCAGGGTCAGTGTCACTGTTCAGGATGTGCAGAGTCACTGTTTAGGGTGTGCAGTGTCATTGTCACTGCCTGAAATGTGCAGTGTTATTGTCATTGCCCAGGGTGTGCAGTGTCTGTCACCGTTCAGGGTGTGCAGTGCCACTGTCACTGTTCAGGGTGTGCAGTGCCACTCTCACCGCCCCAGATTTGCAGTTTGGCTGCTCTTGCTGCAACCTCCCCCTCACATACCAAAGAACAAAGGCTGCTTTGCAAAGCACTGCCCCACCCCCCTGCTGCCTCCACCCCAGGACAGTGGGCATCAAACTTTCCTAAAAGTGGCACCAGGATGGTTTCAGGCAAGAACCTGGGACCATCCCTGGCTCTACCCTGGGGAAGGGGGGACTCTGTGCCCTAACAGGGCAGTCTTGACGGGGCTGGAGCTTCACAGTGCCTGCTGGTGTCACCCCCTTGTCCCCCCAGGGCTCAGGGACTGGCCCAGTGCCCTGTTGGGTGTTGGGAATTGTTTTGTGTCCGTGTCCAAGTGTTGCTGTGCTCTGGCTGTGGCAGGAGCTGACCCCTGACACCCCGAGGTCACACACCTGCCCTGGTACCACACAAGTAGGCTCAGTTTAAGGCTACTCCGGTCCCTGAATTTTGTTTTGGGGGCCTGTCCTTACCCCCTTCCCTAGCTGGCACCAGGCCAGGCTCAATCCCTGCAGTTGGGGCCACGTTTCACCTCCTTACCTCAAAGTGATCACCAAAGATGGGGGAGCCAGCGGTGCCCCCCAAAGCCCTGCTGCTGCTCTGGGGGCTCCTGCTCTCCCCCAGCTCTGCTTCTCTCGACCCCAGCAGCCTTCCCCGGGCGCAGGCAGAGCCAGGCTTCCCCTCTCCACACCTTCCCCTATTTAAAGCACTGCTTGCTTGAGGCCGAATTCCCAGCAATGAGGGAAAAAGACGCCGGGAAAACCCAACTCAAAGAGGTTTAAACTCAGGAATAGCGAGGGGGAATTCCCTGCTGGGCACCCTCTGCTGTCACCGGAGCCTTACCTGGTGGCTTTGACCTTAACTTTAAAATATATGCAATCTTCCCTCCCTGGTCTCTGGAAAGACAGAGACCACCTTCAAGGAATCCCTTTCTTGCCCCAGTCCCGTGTTTTGTCAGGGTTAATAATATGTATTGTTACCTTTTAACTAAATTATTCTGCAGTTGTCCTACTGATTGTATTTTTAATGAGTCCCTGTTTTCTTCCCTGACACCTTTGTGTTGGCACTTTTTAATCTGCTTGTTGTTTGCCCTTGTTTCTATGTATATTTATAATTAAGTTGTACATACTGTAAAGAGATTTTTTAGAATATGTGCCTTGGACTAATAATTCCTGAATTTTCTACTTGCCTCAGAAAGATAATTTTTCATTCTGCTCAGTAAAAATGGAACAGAAGCCACATGTGAGATTTCTGTAACTCTCAGCTCTGTCTCTTGGTCTATCCACCTTGCCCCAGGAGCCCAGCTGGAGCTTGGATCAGGAATCCCTGGGCCAGCATCCTGCTGGCAGCTGGACTTTGTATTTCCCGTGTCACCAAATGGGTGACACTGGGGGCTGTTGTCCCAAGGCTCCCTCTCTCCCTGGGAGAAGCCACTGCTCATTGAGAGGAGGATCCTGTCTGGATCCGGCCTTGGATGAGGCAGCTCCCTCATGGCTTGGCTGGAAAAACACAGATAAAGGAGCCTCTGTTCCAGTGTGTTTCCCCAGCAGGAACTGCCACAGCTCTGGGATGTCTCATCCAGGCACTGCTGCTCCTGTTACCTCATGGAAGGAGGGCTGGGGTGACTCCCAGTGAGCAGGATCCTCCCAGCATCCCTGATGTGCTGGGCTGGAGGCTCTGCAGGGGTGCCAGACCCTGGGATTTTTTCCTGGGGACAGACTCCCTGAGGGGGCTGTGGATGTGACAGGGAGAGGCAGCACTTGCCAGGCCCTGGGAGGAGCTGCAGCAGCAATTCCTGCACGGCAGAACCTGAGCTGTCCCTGCCCAGGATGGGACACCAGGGCTTGGCTGGGCACGGCCATGGCTTCACAATCACCAAGACGCTGCCCCGAGGAGGAGGAGGATGATCCTGCTTACTGTGGTCAGACATGTCCCTGGCTGCAGGGGATATTTTGCCGTGTCCCAACACGCCTAGATTCTATTCTGCAGGAATTTCTCCTGGGCAGGGCTTGTACCACTGCTGGACCCATCCCCTCTGCTGCCCTGTCCTACCAGGAGGATTCCTGGAGCCAGGAGAGATCTAAGGGGGAACAAATCTTCCCCAGCTCTGCCTTTGCCCAGGAGCCCCTCGGGAGCACGCAGCATGCCGGATTTACGATTTACACTCCCTCCTCTACATTGAGGATTATCCCTGCTCGGCTCAGGAGTTGCATAAGGTCTTGGCTTGCCAGCAAACTCCAGGTCATCAGCAGGAGCTGACAACTCCTGGCCAGCAAACTCCAGGTCATCAGCAGGAGCTGACAACTCCTGGCCAGCAAACTCCAGGTCAGCAGGAGCTGACAACTCCTGGCCAGCAAACTCCAGGTCAGCAGGAGCGGCGCAGCAGCCCCATCCCAGGTTGGGAACACAGCAGCTCGTTCCTAACGCCTTTATTGCAAGGGGACTCGTTACTGCCAGGGGGCTCCGGCTGCTCCTGCCCACAGCGGCCGTGGGCCCAGAGCTTCTGTCCAGCAGTTGCACGCCTCGGGTCAGGGCTGCCCCACCAGCAGCTGGATTGGAGGCAGCCCGTCATGGGGCTGGAGGATGCTCCGTGGGCAGCAGGGTCGGGGCGGGCAGGGGGACAGCGGAGCGGAGCTACAGGTAGGCAGGCAGGTCCTTCTCGATCACCTGCGGGGAAGAGGGGAACGTTGTACCCCCAGAACATCCCCGGCCTTTCCCTCCTCCCCAGCAGCTGCACTTACATAGGGATCTTCCATGGGGCTGTACCTCTTCACCACTTGACCTTCCCGGTTAATGAGGAACTGTAGGAATGAAGCAACCCCTGGTGAGCGAGTCCAGGGAGCTGATGGGGGTGTGGCAGCTGTAGCCCCCACAGATTCACTTCCCCCCTCAGCTGTGCTCTGGGCAGGGCAGGGGTTCCCAAGGGTCTCTAGACACAGGAACCCCTGAGGATACTCCTGCCCTGACACCTGGAGTACCAGCACAGAGCAGAGCCCAGCGTGAGGCTCCCTCCTACATCAGGGACCCCCCTCAGATCCTCAGAGGAGGCAACCAAAACTACAAGCGTCCTACCTTGGTGAAGTTCCATTTTATTGCACTAAGAGAGAAAGAAACAGGAGTGAGTTTTGGGCAGAAAAGCCCTTCCTTGTGCCCAGCCAGGCCCTGAGCCAAGCCCTCCCTGCTGGCTGCAGGTCCCCAGGGCTGTACTTCCCACACTCACTTGCCCAGAGTGCCTCGCCCTTTGGGCTGCTCCTTCATCCACTTCCAGAGGGGGTGAGCATCATCCCCGTTGACATCGATCTTGCTGTACATGTCGAATTTCACCCCGTAGTTCTCAGCAAATGCCTTGATCTGAGCGTTGTCCCCGGGCTCCTGAGGGGCCGCACCAGGACCGTGAGGCTCCCCGGGCCATCCCAAAGCTCCCAAGGAACCCGAGCCCCCCGTACCTGCTTCCCAAACTGGTTGCAAGGAAAGCCCAGGATGCGTAAACCCCTCTCAGCGTATCGGGCGTGCAAGTCGACAAGCTGAGTGTAGTTTACGGCGGTTTTGCCTCACTTGGAGGCTACGTTGGTGATGATACACACGTCTCCCCTGCAGAGGAGGGGGATGAGCTGCCCTTCCCCGCAGGGCACGGGCACGGGTCCCTCACCCTCTCAGGAGAGGCGTGCGGGTTACGCAAGAGCCGCTGTGGCTCAACCTCGCCCGGCGCGGCCCCGGCCCCTCCGTCCTACCGATACTTTTCCAAGGACACGTCGTTGCCGTCGATGTCGAGGGCGTGAAAGTCGTAGATGGCCTTGGCCGAGCGCCAGTCATCCGCCTGGGCACACTGCGGGGCGGGCGCGTCACTGCGGAGCTCCGCGCCGGCCCCGCCACCGCCGCTGCCCCCGGGGGACCCTCGGAGCCGAGCCGCGGTCCCGGAACGGGCCGAGCCCCCGCCGCCCGCCCGGGCAGCCCGCGGGAGAGACCCGGGGCCAGCCCCGCTCCCCGGGCGGGCCGAGCCGCGGTCCCCGGGCGGACCAGCCCCGCTCCCCGGGCGGGCAGAGCCTCGGTACCCGGGCAGAGCCTCGGTACCCGGGCCGAGCCGCGCTCCCCGGGCCGAGCCGCTCTCCCCGGGCCCGGCCGCTCCCCCGGGCCCCCGCACTCACCATGCTCCGCACCGGTCCCGGTCCCAGCCCTGGTCCCAGCGCCGCTCCCGCCGCCGCCGCCGCCGCCCGCGCGCAGCACAGCACGCCCCGCACCGCGCTGGCCCAGCCCATCCTTCACAAACCCCGCCCCTTTCGGGCATATCAGCCAATCGGCACGCATAGAGGCGGCCTCGGCGGGATGATGGATGGAAAGCTGACCAATAGGAGGGCAGGGCGGGCGGGGTGGCCGCAGGGGTGTTGATCGGGACAGACCACGAGGGCGGGGGGCAAGGACGGAGCAAAGGGCGGGGTGTGGAGCAGGTGCCGCGGCTGCCGGGCGGCGATTCCCTCCCGACCCGGCCGCGGGTTCCGGACAGAGCCGCAGCCACCCAGAGACCCACGCTGAGAGCAGCAGAGAGATTTCTGTTCCCTCCGGAGCCAGCGGAGGGGGGCAGCTGGCGGCGGACTACATCTCCCAGGAGGCGCCGCGGCTGAGGCCCCCCGCGCGCGCGGGGGCAGGCGGCAGCGCGGGCAGCCCGCGGGGGCCTCGGCGGGCAAGATGGACGACGAGGAGGAGACGTACCGGCTGTGGAAGATCCGCAAGACCATCATGCAGGTCCGGGAACGGCGGCGCCGGGAGGACCCAGCCTGGCGGTGGGGAGTTCCGGCGGCGCTCCGGGGCCGCAGGGTGGAGGTGTGGGACGCGGAGGCCGGTTCGCAGTGCCGGTTCTCGGTTGCTGAGGCCGGCGCTGCTCCCGCAGCTCTGCCACGACCGCGGGTACCTGGTGACCCAGGACGAGCTGGATCAGACGCTGGAGGAGTTCAAGGCGCAGTTCGGCGACAAACCCAGCGAGGGACGTCCCCGTCGCACCGACCTGACCGTGCTGGTGGCTCACAACGATGATCCCACCGACCAGATGTTCGTGTTCTTCCCCGGTGAGCAGCGCCCGCCCGGGCGGGTCCGGTGAGCCCGGGCCTGGCTGAGCCCGCAGGGGAGATTCGGAGCACAGGGGTGACCCGGGTCTGGCTGAGCCTTCAGGGGACATTCAGAGCACAGGGGTGACCCGGGTCTGGCTGAGCCCGCAGGGGAGATTCGGAGCACAGGGGTGACCCGGGTCTGGCTGAGCCCTCCTGCCGCGGACTCTCGGTGACCCCGGCTCTGGCTCTTTCCTCAGAGGAGCCCAAGGTGGGCATCAAGACCATCAAGATGTACTGCCAGCGCATGCAGGAGGAGAACATCACCCGGGCACTGATCGTGGTGCAGCAGGGAATGACCCCCTCGGCCAAGCAGGTCTGTGGGGACAGCACCGTGTCCCACTCAGCAGCTGGGAAGGTTTTCCTTGTCTGTTCCTTAGCCTTGCTGTGGGTAAATGAAAGCCCTGAATTGGCCTCCAGAGAAAAGCTTTTGCTGGAACCCGTTGTACTGAGCACAGGTTCTTTTTTAGCACCCAACTGTGTTTATCCAGAGCAGCTGGTCCTGGTGGCAGTGGCACAGCTGAGGGCCCACGGGCAGTCAGGAGGTGGGGGAGGGAAAAAGAGATGTTTCCCTGTTCCAGGAGCTCAGGGGCTTACCCAGGAGCAGCTCTGAGCACTGCCAGAGCCACCTCTGAAAAGTCTTTTTACTGCCAGGGCTGCCCCAGCCACCTCTAAAAGGGCTTTTTCCTTCCAGTCCCTGGTTGACATGGCTCCCAAATACATCCTGGAGCAGTTCCTGCAGCAGGAGCTTCTCATCAACATTACGGAGCACGAGGTGAGCGGTGGGAGGATGGTCCCTCCCTCGTGCTGGCTGCGTTCCTGCTGCTCCCAGACTCCTTCTCCTGCTCCCTGGCTGGGCTGAGGGACACACTTGTCCTTTTCCCCCTCCCAAACACTTGCTGCCTCACCTCACTCAGTCTCTCTGGTGTTTGCAGCTGGTGCCAGAGCATGTGGTTATGACAAAGGAGGAGGTAACGGAGCTGCTGGCCCGATAGTATCCTTTGAGTGTCCCCTTGCTGTCCCTCCATCCTGTGATGAAATTCGGGCTGAAAACCCCTTCTCCTGCCATGGTTCATTTCTGTTTTGTGAGCTGCCAGCAGTCCAGAGCTTCTCCTTGACTCCCAGCACAGCAAGCTGAGGGAGAACCAGCTGCCCAGGATCCAGGCTGGGGACCCCGTGGCCCGGTACTTCGGGATAAAGCGTGGCCAGGTGAGAGGAGCAGGCTGAGGCAGCAGCTTCCTGTGGTGGGGCAGGGAGGGGATGATCCTGGAGGGCATTTTGGAGCAGAACAAGTGTCTCCTTCTCCTCCTCCTCCTGTTGTGAGCTCCATGTCTGCCTTGCAGGTAGTGAAGATCATCAGGCCCAGCGAGACGGCGGGCAGGTACATCACCTACAGACTGGTGCAGTGACACAGTGGGTAAGGATGAGGGGACCCTCAGCTCAGGGGGGCTTTGGGCAGTGCCAGGGATTGTTCCAGGGTCAGTGTGAAGCAGCTGCTTCCAGGGAAATGTCTCAGAGTTTTAAATGGCTCACGGAGGGAGCTGTTGGGGAGAGCAGGGCAAGGCTCCCCTGTCACCTGTGCCTCTGCTCAGGCTGTGCCCGTTGGGATTTGGGGTGTTCAGAGGGACCTGGGGCAGGAGGTGATTCCCATCCCTCCTTCTCTTCCAGGTGTGAGGAGCTGGGTGGCTCCCAGCAGCAGTTCATGGACGCTCGGAGATTCCTGAATTTAGGGAATGCCAAGGAAATCAAATCCTCTTCCCTCTCTGCAGCCCCGTCACTGGGCCTCATTCCACATCTTGGACTTTGTGGTGACCCCTCAGTCCCATCCAGGACTCAGCCATGGGAGGAAATGAGTGGGAAGGGCTTTTCCTTCCCTGTTTTATGGGCTTTTGTTTGAAATAAAGGTTTGTACCCTCAGTGCTGCAGCGTTGCTCAGCCTCTCCCTGTGGCAAAGCCTCGAGACTCTGCAAGTTCCCATCATTTTCATTGCGTTTGGAATCTCTTCCTGCCAGGATTCTGCATCGTGGCTGGGCTCTGCAGAGCCTTTAGGAGCTGCCCTGGGCAGTTTGGAAGCTGCAGTTCAGACTCATCCTCATTCCTTCCCTGATCTCCTGCCCTGTCCCCTGGTTTGGGACCCCGGTGTTCACACGCTGCCATGGAGAGTTGCTCATCACCCCCAGCTGCACTCATTTGAATCCCAGGAGCCTGGGGGGCTTTAAACTTCACTTGTTGTGGCAGAAACACTTGGATTTGGCCTCTTGTGGCAGGGGGAGCCTGGAAGAGCCTGATCCTCAGGACAAACACGGGTCAGAACACGCTGGTTTTATTGTTTTTTTGGGAAGTTTATCAATGTGAACACAGCAAGGCAGCATTGTGCAGCAGCACAAGCCTGTCAGGACAAACATGGAATCGACACAACCACGAGGGAGCTGCTGCTGTGGGCAGCTCAAGCACAGCTTTAGCCCCTTCTCTCATCACACTCACCCTCATCATCCTCACCCACCCTCACATGCACGCGGTACCGCCGTGGCAGCAGCATTCCCACATCCTCCTGCTGCCCTGGAAAAATCCAGCTGGCCTGTGGAGGAGTGGCAGGGCACAACAAATCCTGTGGGTTTCCAGCTCTTCTCTGGCTCAGTTCCCAACCTGTGAGTAAGCTGGGTTTATGTACCTTTGCTGAGACAGGGTCTCCATCGACCTCAGAGGGCTCAAACCTCCTGCCCATTGCCTGGTTCTGCAGTACCAAGGTGTCTGAGACCCCCTCCAACACCACCTCCTCTGGCTCCCAAAGCAGGAGGATGAAGGAAAAGGCTCCCAGCTCATTCCAAGCTAAAACTCAACTTGTTTCTCGGTGCCTCAGTGCAGGAAAAGTCTCATAGCTTTAAAAAAACACCTAAAACCACTTTGGGTTTAGTCCCTTTGCCAGCAGAGGTAGTGGAGTCACGTTGAAGGGTTGAAAAGGAAGCATGAGCAGAGGGAGTTAGTCCTGGACGTGCAGCATAGCTTTTTGGAGATGAAATGACTGTACAAGCAAACCACAGCCTGTGGTTGCTCTTTGCATGTCTCCTGCCAAGGAGGGAAATTCCCACCAATCCAAATGCCTGTCAATCCAAGCAGGAATGAAGATGCCATCAGCTGGGCCACAGTGCTGAGGTTTTGGGGCAGGAAATCCATCCTGAACCCTGGTTCAGTCAGGTGTCAGTGAGGGATATCCCCTGAGATCCTGGCAGATGGCACAGCCCCAAAGCCAAGCCTGGCTCAGGGTGAGATGGTGCAGGGGTTTCACCCCAACCCAAGCGCTGCTCCAGCTGTCCCAGGGAGCTGCCCTCAGTTCCAGCTGTTCCTGTGGTGTCATTCTCCTGCCCATCTCGAGTGATTGTTGTTCTCATGTCACTCCTGGAAGCCCTGGCTCCCTTGCACCCTCAGCCATCAGGGATGACCAGGTCCTTTGACTCATCCAACCTCAATCTTGCAGCACAGGTGTGGCATTCAGGGATTCAGGAGCACAACAAAAACAAAACACCTGGCACAGGCAAAGCCCCGGGTTCTTTCCCAAACCCAGGCAAGGTCCTTCATGGTCCCAGCTGAGCCAGGGGTCCCAGCAGGCTGAGACCCCATTCCCTGGCCGGGCATTGAGGGGTTTTGTGTGAAAACTCCAGCCAGGAATCAGCCAGGACTCACCTGCAGCTGACACACCAAACCCCCCTGGGCTGCCCCATGTCCCTGCCACCCCTCCACATTCCAGTTTCCAGCATCTGGGCAGCCTAGGGGATTTGCCCCTTTGTCCATCCCAGCGTCTGTGGTGGCTCAGATGAGCCGGGGCTGCAGCTCGTGGCCCCGAGAGGTGCCGGGCTGGTTTGTGGCGTCCCTGGGGGTGGCGGGGCTGCGGCTCTCAGGGGGTTCCTCCCCATCGCTCTGCTCGTCCCCAGGGCTGCAGCAGCGGGGAGCAGAGCCCTCTGCATCTGACTGGCCCACGCTGCAGGGCCCCTCGCTGCCCTCGTCACAGAAATTAACCTCTTCCGTGCTGGTCTCGCTGCCCTGCTTGGCCAGGTGTGCCCGGGGCTCCCCGCTGTCCTCCAGCTCTGAGTCGGAGTCCACGGAGCGGTCGCCGGACTCTGTGGGACACAGGAGTTCTGTGTCACCCTCCAGCCCAGCACCCGGCATCAGCAGGAGCTTCCTGCAGCAAACCCGGGGTCGCTGGGGCAGGGGATGGGTCTGTGTGCCCTCCCTGCCTCCCAAGGGAGCTGCGCCCACCGGGAACCCCCAGCACCTCTCACTGACCTGCGAGCGAGTCGGCGCTGAAAGCCAAATCCCCCTTCTCCGCAGGCAGCTCCAGGTAGGGGCTGGTGCCAAGAGGAGCCACAGGCTGGGAGCCTGCATGGACCTGGGAGGGAGCAGGGATGGTGGTGAGGGCACGGAGGAGTTCTCACTCCTCCAGTGAAGGTTCAGGGAACATCCCCCGAGGATCGCCCTTCCCTGGGGACTCCCACCTGCTCAGCACCGCTGGCCGCCTCCTCTGCGGCGCCTGAGCCGCGTCTGCCGGGCTCGGCCGCTGCCACGTCCTTGTGCTCAAAGATGGTGGGGTAGAAGATGATGAGTGCCTCGATGATCCGGGCTTGGTGGGGATAATCCACCAGCGAGGACAAGGAAATGGTGGCATCCGTGGGCCTGGGGCGCATCAGCGTCGGCCCGAAGACGATGCCCAGGTTGCCTGAGGTCATCTTGTTGTCCTGTTCCACTTCCATGATCCTGGGTGGGAGGGGAAGGAGCAGCTTGTGAGGGCAAGGAGGGAGAGGTGTGGATGGGCAGGGCTGGGGGAGATGCCAGCTGGAGCACTTGAACCTCAGGATGGAGAGAGAAGCAGCTGCAACCACGGACCTGTTGGAACTCAAAATGTCCCTCAGACATTTTTGGATGTTCCAGGCCTAGGTTAGAAGCATTTGAAACCCTGGGAGGCAGCTGGAAACAGCTGTGATTTTGGGTTTGAGCCATGGAACAATTTACCAACCTTGCAGGAAGAACAAGAAGTCACAAAAGTTTAGATATTAAGAGTAGAAGTAGTCACAAAGTAGAGGGAAGAATTTTTGAGTGCTGTACAGGGGGGTTTTAGTTTTATACATGGGGGTCAGAGGTTTTAAGATGGAGGGATTTGGGCTGGTCCTATCCTCCCTCTTTCTTCTTCCTTACCTCCATGTTCTTGGTGATGTTGGCACTCACAGATTGGTTTAGAGTAGAAAAGCACCATTTAATATAGGTAATAGGCATTGGGGAAAAACTATAAACATTTATCATGTAATGTACCATATAAAAGATAGAAAAGCACCATTTAATATAGGTAATAGGTACTGGGGAAAAACTATAAACATTTAAAATGTAATGTATCATATAAAAGACAGCAGCAGCTGGGGCAGCAGAGAGCAGAAGCAGCCGGGAGTCAGAGAGGATGTCAGGGTGTGTGTGTGCCTCTGCCTGAGCTCTGAGCAAACCACAGCAGCTCCAGAAGAAAATCTTTTAGATAACTCGCAATAAACTGCCTTGAGACCCAACAACAGAGACTGCTGAGTTTTCTTTGTAAGCACGGGCTGGAGGAGGGAATTCCCACCACATGGAGCCCCTGAACCAGGCCTGGGTTCCATCCCGGACCTTCCTCCTGACCCCGGTGAGGATCTGCACCCACCTCCCCACCCCAGGGGATAAAGGGAAGGTGCCCAGCGGCCACACAGGCTCTGGCCATGCCCCTTCTCACCTCCTCAGGTGCTGCAGGAGGTACTGGAGCGTGGCCATGTTCTCGCAGGGGAGCTCCTTCAGCAGCTCCCTCAGCTTCAGCACCAGGCTCAGCACCACCTGCTCGGTGTCGGCTCCTCTGTCCACCAGCTCGGGGCCGCCCTTCCCGCTGCGGCCTTTGGCCTCGCCGCCCTGCAGGCTCTCCTTGGCCAGCCCCATCAGCTCGTTGTACAGCCGGAAGGGCATGAGGGGCTCTGGCAGCTGCAGGGGGAAGAGAAGAGGTGATCCCAACTCCTGAGAGTGGCTCCCACCTGCACAACATCTGGGCTCGTGCTCGGCTGCTGAGCTGGCAACACCTGGGGCATTTCCACAGCAAGGAAACATCCCTGGGAGTGCTCGGGGCCAGCTTGAAGAGAGCTTAGAGCACTTTTAACATCCATTTCCATGAATTCCATGAGTCTGTGGCCTGCACTGCTGCAAACCTCTGCCCAGAGGTGATATTTATTATTTATCCGTTTCCTGGAGCGTGTCAATCGAGCCTCGTTTGCCCCGGCCAAGGGGCACTTGTGAAGTTCAAGCCCAAAGCAGTGTTTGATCCACCCGTGGGTTTTCCCTGCTGGGTTGAGGTGCAGGGATTCCCTTTTTTTCCTGGAAAATCCCTGGCTGGGGTGGGCCCAGCTGGAGGTTCCCCAGCGGACAAGGAGTGGCTGGGAAGAGGACAGGGATGGGTTGTTCTGGGTGAGGGAGGCAGGATGTGAAGGCTGCAGGATGTGCAGGGCACAGCCTGCAGCAGAGGTGGAGCTGCGGCGAGGGGAACTCTGCTTTGAGGTTTGTGTGAAGCACAAAGAGCTGGTGTTGACTGCTGGGTGTTCCACATGGCTGGGGATGTTTTCAGAGCGGCCTTAACAGATGTTTTGGGGACAGGTCCATCCACCCCTTTATGGAAGGACTTTAACCCATTTCTCTGCAGCATTTCTCCCAGCCTCAGACTGGGGCTCAGCACCGATTTCCCCCTCTCTTTCCACTCTGTTTCTCTTTAGAGAAAACATGGAAGTCGCTCAGAGTCCTTGACTCCTGATGAGCAGGAGCCCAAGGACACGGTTTTCCCTGTGAGACAACACAGAGCTGCCCTTCCTGGGGGGGTTACAGGGAAAAAAGCAGCACAAAGAGTTAAAAAGCCACGGCTGCCTGCGAGGGAGAAGCAGCTTCCGTGCTCCTGCCTTGCGGTCGTGGCTGTTGGAGGATGTGGGTGACGCTGTTTGCAACGACAGTTTGGGTACAGGGTGGGGGTGCTG